GTAACTTATGAAAAAACTTAATAACAAAACTAATGTTTACGGAGAGAACCACAACTAACTGCAGTCAAAGAGTACAGAAAAAAAAATCTGCCTAATTATTACACAGAAACAACACGGTCGTTGCAGACAGCGTAACTTATGAAAAAATGTATGATGCATTGAGTGGAATTTTAGCTAGTACGTGTTTGTTAATGAAATATTGAAAAATAAAATTGTGGTTCTCTCCGTAAACATTATTTTTGTCAACACGGTGAACAACCGGCCTAACCGCAGTCACAGAGTGCAGAATAAAACATCTGCCTAATTATTGCACAGAAACAACACATACAGTCGATGTGGACACGGTAACTCACGAAACAACTGATGCATTAAGTGGAATTTTGTATTCAGGCGATTTTTAGCCAGGCGATTGGTCATGATAGGTAGCGCAAGCCCATGAGATATTGACACAAAAATATAGGATCGTTTCTGCAAATATTACTTTTGTCATCTTGAAGAAAAACGTGCCTAACTGCAGTCACAGTTTACAGTGAATCTGCCTAACTATTGAACAGAAACAACACAGTCATTATGGACAAGGTATTGCTCACAAAATAACTGATGCATTGAATTAGAATTTAGCCCGACGATTTGTCATGACGGGTTGCAAAGCCCACAAAATATTAACACAAAAAAAAGTTGTGGACGTCTCCGTAAATATAATTTTTGTCAAATTGCAGTCGCAGTCTACGGAACATCTGCCTAACTATTGAACAAAAACAACATAGTCATTGTGGACAGGGTTACTCACGAAATAGCTGATTCGTTGAGTGGAATGTTTTAGCCAGGTGACTTGTCATGACGGGTAGTACACGCCCTTAAAAAAAAATTGAGACAAAATATTGTGGTTCTCTCCGTAAATATATATTTTTTGTCAACATGGAGAGAAACTTGCCCAACCGCATAGATAAACCAAATAACGTCGCCACGATTGTCGCTTCTGGATTTTACTAAAATATGTTACTTCATTATGTGGCTATCTGCTGTAACTGCCCACTCTCGGATCAATTTGATTCTCTATTGCGTGAAAATTGCGATGCTGCGGGTCGTACGTTTCACAAATGCAAATGCATTTCCTTCCTCCCGTTACCTGTGGAAAAAAAATACCCCGGTGTTAATAAGGGAATAACAGTGTGAGGATCCGGTCTTCACTGCGTGATAATGACCGGGTGTGGGGGTGACCGCTGTTAATGGACCGAGACGAAGGTCCGACATGCGTGCACGCCTGCATGATGCGCGCAAAAGGAAAATGCAGCGTGGCATTGTCCCAAGGCAGACCCTAGCGCCGCCCTACTTAGACTGACATACAATGGACAACTCGAACACGTAAACCAAACGACCACAACTCAGATTTTACCATAGAGAAAGCAAACATAATTTAATAACAAATAATCAAAAAAAATAAAAATGTACAACAAATCAAGAATTTAATACAATAAATTAATTAACTAGCTGGCTCTGTAGAATGAATGCCGAGTCGATGACTGCATGAACTGACCCCTCAGTTGGTTGAACCCTGGGTTGAATTGAAGAGCAATCCCCATTGAAAGACGACCCCAAATCTGATTTTGAATCTTGAACTCCACACCCCGTAAAACTGGATACAGGAATCCCCTGAAAATATGAATTAACATTCGATTGTTTTAACAAAAACTCGGCCCTAATATTTGTCAATTCAGTTCCTGACACAAACATCAAAACCCTTAGCTTACACATTTGTTTTCCTGATAGAAACTTATTAAAAATTCTACTCGATTATTATTTTGTCTCACTCAGTTTGATCATGGAAAACACAATTGATAGGTTTTACACAAAAACGATAAAAATGCAGTTTCTATCATTATAATTAAAGTTACTCACAGAGCCTTAGGTTTTCCTCCTATGTTCCCTATGGTCTGGCATTTCCGGGAGAATCATGCTGCGAGCCCGTGGATCGGCGGGCCTTCTACGTCCGTTTTCTGCGAACCACTCTCCGCAAAGGGTACCCAAAACCGCCCGGCGCTTCTAAGCCACATCGACGATCTCTAAAAACATCACCAGCCTCGGCGCTGATGGCCTTGTCCGCTGGACATCATCCCCCGGCGAGACTAACTCAACTCCCGGTACCCACAGCGCAAAACTCGATCCTCTAAAATTTGCATCGCACTTTTATACCCGGGGAAGCCAGTTTTACATTCTTCGATTTAATTTATTCTAGAGCCCACCTTTAACTTATGCTAATACATTCAAACATGACAAAAGTAACTAAGTTAAACTTTTAAGTCCCCATTGGGGTTGCGGTAATCAAACCTAGTCGGGCATGGAGGAAAGCCCGTTGAAAACGGTCAGTCGAGACGAACGCCTGGTCGGACCGCTAAAATTAACACAAACTTCAACCAAGGAATTACGCATTGAAATTAACATTAACTGAAATTCATAACTGAAATCAACTTAACTATTTACACCAGATTTATAAACGGGGTTGGAATTCATAATATCATAATAGTAATTTTTGTATCGTCTTGCGACATCCCTGTCTATGTGCATACAGAGCCTCAACCCAACTGGACCCGTAGTTGTGTAGATATAGGGCTTCGAAAACAAATGCACTTTAAATGTGATGTAATTTGACACCTCCCAATGTCTTGATGATGATGTCTTGGCGGCCATCTTGGCGGCCATCTTGGCGGATATCTTGGATTTTGACGACAATCGGTTATTTGACATAACATAAGACAAATTAAGGTGTAAACTTAATCTTGTAGTATTATCATGCCAGTATGGTGGATTATCATGCCAGTATGGTGATTCAGCCAATACTTCCTCTTTACTCATTGACTTGCTGCTGAAAACTGTTGAGTAGGCAGAGGATCAATAGTGGAAGAGCATCAAGAGATTGATTATGATGAGTTTCTTGAAGATGACGACTAGACGTTCAATATGGCGATGAAATTTAATTGATTACCACTTCTCTAGCTTGTTCTGTCGCTCTTTCTGTCGCTTATTTTTGCCCATAACAATAGTACTACAATGGCATCACTACGTCATGGCTGACGATTGTGTAGCGCCCCAATGAAGTCTTAGCTTTCACGTTAGTAGATCGATCAATGTCTTTCACACTTTCTAGTGTAACTGCGAAGACCCGCTTTTGATCGGCAGGCTCTACCACAGTGAGTGCAGGTCAAGGATGAGGGCGCCTGAGATGAACCTGCCCGCTCCTTTCGTCTGGCTCTCTTGTCAGTCAGGAAGTAATTTCTAGCATTTTCAGCCCACCTCACACCTTCCTGCATTCTCTGTCGTCTGCAGTGCATTCCCAACTATTGGGGCCTATTCCAGAAGACTTCAAGTAACTCTTGCAGATGCCATTATAGCGGAGATAGGGTCGCGCCCTGCAGGTCTTGTACCTTCAGCAAGTTCTTCATAAAGGAGATACGTTCAGGGGCCGACCCGAGTCCATCCTCTTGACATTGCCCATGTCATCTAAGACGTCTCATGCTGAGAAGAGCAAATGTGCTTTGGATACCAGCACGCTCTAAAACCTTCGTGCTGGTCACCCGATCCAGCTTGCGCAGAGAATGCGTCTGAAGTATCCGATGTGGAAGCTGTTTAGTCTCTTCTTCTGACCGGCATAGGTTGTCCAGGTTTCACAACCGTGTAGGAGTGTACTGAAGACACGGGCCTGGTACACGTGCATCTTGGTGTGCATAGTCACGTGATGGTTGTTCCAGACTCTCTTGCTCATTCTAGTTAGGACAACTGCGGCATTCGCTCTTCCGCTGTTAAGCCCTGTGTCAAGAGACAGTGTGCATGCTGGAGATGGCTTAACTAAGGTAGGTGAAGGTATCCACCACCTCAAGGACATGTCCGTTGATGGTGATGGACGGAGGGCGGTCTATGTTCTGGCCCATGTTGTTGGTCTTTTTTTCAGGCTCATAGTCGGTCTAGAGTGATTGCAGGCGTGGGACAGGCAATCAATGAGCCTCTGCAGCTGGGCTTCACTGTGGGACGCCAACGCTGCATCATCAGGAAACAGCAGTTCGCGGGTGAGGACCCTCACGAAGTTTTGGAGCGAAGGCGAGTAGTGTTAAAGCCAACACGTGAGCTGGTGCCCGAAATGCCAATCCCAGCACCTCCGGTGTTAGTCTTTTCTAGCTGTCCGCTGTCTCTGCAAGCTGTCTCCCCAGGCTATTCCTGGCAGTAACTGGTGTCCTAAAAAAGTTCAGTTTACAAACAGACTAGATATTGTTCGCCATGTACCTTCACCAGTGGGATCACCGTTGATCTGCGACCTATCATGTGAAGTTTTGGCTCTCTTATGATCAATATTCTCTCACAGTGGGGTTCAGCAGTGCGAACCACTACCTCTCACTGGTTAGCTTCATAGTATGCTTTATATCTACTCCTCTTGACGTATTTGGTCCACACCTATGCCGATCCTGCCTCTGCTACCTCTGCAGCAGCCCTGCTTGTTAACTTAGCTCTAATGCTGAAGCCAATGTCCAGCCATCTCTTCTGGAAAGAGTGAGCAATGAAGCCATGACAGGATTTTTTTCGCAGTATAGCCCCCCCCCCTCCCCCTACTAAGGCGACGGATAAAGTGAGTAGTCCGTCTTGCTTAGTGGTTTAATTATACCAGCATTAGTTGGTAAAGAAGTAATATTTCAGAACTCCTTAATTCAAATAGTATTATAGACAAATGATGTGAATTTTCATACGCATAATAATTTGTACTACACTGTAGTACGGTCCAGCAAGCATGAATGACATGAAATACCAAACTATACCAAGGGGTAATCGTTTGGCTTTCGTCTTATGCTCATCTTGTGGGATGTTTTACCAGAAATATTATTTAACACAAAATGTTCGACCACAAGGTATTGAACCCGCCATTCTACTGGATACTCTAGGAATTCACGTTATTTGTAAATCTTGTTTATTTTTGAAATCTGTTTCTCTTTGTCACAGCAACCGCTGGCTTCAACTGCACCCTCGAGGAAGGGTTCTGTGGCTGGAGACAATCCGACCAGGACCGGTCCAACTGGGTGCTGCAGCAGGGGCCTCATTATTATTACCCCGGGCCAGATTTCGACAGGACGTTTGGCAGTAAGTGTTTGGATCGCTTGATATTTAGTTTTTACACGGTGTCTCAAAAAGGTCACCAACAAACAAAGGAATAAGGTTTTACCATAAACAAGGGGCATTGACATTTCCTATTTGGGCGGTAATGTATCTTTGATGGAGCTGGCATATTATCTAAGGCCCGCAGTCTATCGACTGTTATTCAAGGCAAATCGAGCTGCTGAACATAATTCATTAATGAAAAGCATACCATTTTCAAGACAATGAAGCTTAGTGTTGCATGACCAGAGCAACAATGAAAATACAAATGGAAGCCTAACAATGGTCAAAAAGTGCGTAGCTAATTTGAATGATTCGTTTTTACGTGGTCACTTTTTTTTCAGAAAACTCTGTTGTATTTGTGTCTAAAAGTAAATTTCTTCCCTACAGATGACTGTTAAAGCCGAAAGTGCTATCAATTATCGATTTAACTGCAGGCTTCGATTGTAGAAATACATGTTTATTTCTCCTCAAATTGGCCTTGACCATATCCAAGAGTACAAGCCAACTCGTACTTGTCCCAAATAAGGAAAATGTGCCGAATTTTAGAAATCATCAATGCTAAATTTCTTTTAAAGTCATCGCATTTGTTTGTTAACCCTCCAAATGTCGCCCTGCACAGATACCAGTGGCCACTACATCTGGCATAGAACGTCATATGGTTATAGAGGCAGAAACGCTGTACTTCTCAGCCCTGTCGTATCGCCAAGTAGAGAACAGATCAGAAATACGTGGTGTTTTAGTTTCTGGTACAATATGTATGGAAGCGACATGGGTAAGGATTACAAACTATTTTTACAATTATTATTAACTATTAAAATACACTCAATCAAAAAAGAAAAGAAAGTCTCCTTAATACTTTTAGTCTAACTCAAAAACCACCTCTCGCTCAAATAAAGACTCATCTATTTAATGACTGATCTATTCAATGCTAATCTTAGCAGTCTCGCCATACTCTTTATTTGGCCCAAAACAGTGATAATGTGTACGAAATTATTCAATTTATGACAAATGATACCGACAAAAAGTTGCACTTTTATATACGTGCAAGTTGAGTGTGAATATTTCGTCTCTGACGCAATCTTCCAATACAAATTTCTTAAAATTGAGTTCTTAAAATCTTTTCACCCTTTCCTTTACTGCATACTTTTCATGTTCTTCGAGGTTCAGCAAAGGAAAAGGTAAAAACACAACCAACAAAACTTGAAATTGTTTTTTTTTAAGGATGTTTTGTTGGAAGATTGTGTAAGAGACGAAATTGTGACACTCAACACTGAATATTTCGTCTCTAAGTCTTACGCAATCTTCCAACACCAAACAAAAATTGTTTAAAAATGATTTCAAATTTTGTTGGTTTCTTTTTACCCTTTCTTTTACTGAACCTCGAAGAACATGAAAAGTTAAGGAAAGTGTAAAACAAGATAACCAACAACAGTTGAAATTAATTTTCAAAAAAATTGTTGGAAGATTGCGTTAGTGACGAAAAATTCACTCAACTTGCACGTATACAAAAGTGCAACTTTTTTCGGTATCCTTTTTTAAATAAATTGCATAATGTACACATTATCGCTATAAAAAATAAAGAATATTGCTGGATTGCTTAGGAATTTCTGTACTGATTAGTCGTTATATGAGCAAAAGATGCTCAGTAGTTTTTGAGTAAGACAAAAAAGTATTAGGCGGGACTTTTGTTTTGGGTTGAGTGTATACATCATGTGCCAATTTTGGTTGGAAAATTCACTTTGGTCCAAAACAAAGGACATTTTCCCTAAGTGGGTACCGCGCTCTCTAGTAAAGATGTTGGATGCCAAAGGATTTTTTCTTTCTTCTTCTTCTTCTTGCGTGTGAAACCAAAACAAAGAGGTAGTTAGATCTCTGGCTGCTTGCTGAGAAGCCACTCTCGGGTTGCTGCATCTGCATCAACATCGATCAGGCCATGGTACTCATTTGGGGGGGGGGGGGGGGGCGATAGAGGGGGCACTCGGAGATGATGCGGTCAGCAGTCTGCTGCTCCGCTCCACATTCGCAAGCTGCGCTCTGGGATAGGCCCCACCTCCACATGTCAGCATTGAAACGCCCGCCTCCGGTGTGGAGCCTGTTTAGTTTAACCCATGCCTGTCGTGGGAGATCAGATCCTGGGCAACTTCTGGATGGTACAGGAATGTATCTATGCAGATGGTTAGGGGATGACTGCCACTTCTGTGTCCACATCCTGGCCATCCAGTGGGTCTTTGACTCAGTGGGTTGGATAGTTGACAATAGATCCTTTCCACTTGAGGCAAAGGGGCGCCGGGATTTGAGTCTGGGTTGTATCTGTTCCCTGCTGATAGCTTGGTGGAGGAGGTGATCTGGATCCATGGCGCGTCGGGCCAGCGCCATGCTTGCTGCCTGCCTACGGAGCTCAGCTGGTGGGATGCCTGCAAGCACAGGGAGCTGCTCAACTGATGTTTTCTTTGATGAATACTGAAGCAAAAAAATGCCAGTGACAAAATTAATGTGAAAACATTTAAATAAAATATTAAGTTATTATACCAAAAATACTGGGTTTTTTATCAAAATGGATACAAATACAGAATACAGATGCAGAACCCAGATGATAAAAAACACTTGAGTTAGACTTTAACGACATTACTCGTTCCTTCTAAAATGTATCATGCCAGGATTTTACATAAAAATATTATTTAAAGTAACGTTGAAATGATTTAATATGAGAAAACAAATCAATGAAAAAATTGATTCATGTCGTCATTATTTCGTGTGTTTTATTGTTTTTCACAGGGACTCTCAATGTGTACCAGCTTCCAGCAAATCAGACAATCAGTGAGGGTGAAATCCTCTTAACCAGAAGCGGTCAATATACGAATGCAAGGGTTTGGTTGAAAGCCAGGAGTTGTGTGAGAAATGCTACTTCGGAATTTCAAATTGCTCTTGAGGCAGTCCATGGTTACGGCTATCGGTCGTACATAGCAATCGATGACATTAATACTGGTATAACTGTTTTCTTTTTTATTCACACTACAAATACCACTACCACGGACCCGGATAGATCACGCAAACAGTTTCCCCACTCTTCCCCCGAAACACACATTTACATTGTCGATCATTGTCAAACTTGAAAAAGTCATAACTTTTTGGTTTATTACTTATCGATTATATACTTGATTGATTCAGATTGAACTTAAGTGATTTAATTCTGCAATTTCAATAAAACTGGGAAACTAAATCGTTGGATGTGACACTCTGCTGAGAAGAGAGAAATTTACCTCGAGAAAAATAATAATAAAGTCCGGCATTTCTTTTTATATATTTGTTTTCTCGTTTCATTGTCCTACCTTGCTAACCATGTTATTGTGTTGCTTCTTTTCCCACCAGTTATCCCTCGAATGTTCCTCTTTGATTCAACCGAAGACTTTCCTTCTGATGCTGGAAAAGCAGTTCTTGTGGAAGGAGAAGATCATGCATTTACGTGCATGGTACCAGACATGAACCACGATCTAGAATTTGTGTGGACCTTGGCTGGCCAGCGAGTAAACAGAAGCGTCGACACCATCGACGGACTGGACGTTAGCAGTAGTGTCGTTGTGTCACCTAACAGAGACATCGATGGAAAGATACTACAATGCGAAGCGTTCGACGCAGATGGCGAGCTGATTGACAATATGACTGTATCAATCGCTGTAAGAGGTAAGATTATATTATATTATGCATTGGAAGATGTCTGACGACAGTTATGCCGTCACAGTTCATGGAAAATTGTCGACCTATTGCTGCAGTGTAGGCCTAACTGATTTTCTTTAATTTCTTTAAGAGGTACATGTTGATTTCTTATCCACCTTAGTTAGTAACTGATACAAATAGACTACAAGATGTCTGGTTTGAAGTGGTTTTCATTGTTCCTATAAGAATCACATGTACAGGTAACTGGCTCTGTCAACTGGTTTTTATAACTGGTATTTGACAATTTCAAAAGAATGACCCGTTGGTAACTAGTAGGCTAGTTTCTTGTAAAAACAATTAGTTTACCAGTTGACGATTGTTGAACCAAAAGGAACAAGTTGATAGCCAACTCATTCTTGTAGAAACCTGTTGGAATTAGTTTAAATTTGAACTAGTTTCAACTGGATTTTCACTTTGGTGTATTTCTTTTTCTTTTTCATAGCAAGCGCAACCTTCAACTGCACCTTTGAGAGAGGACTTTGTGGATGGAGACAATCCAACGAGGACAGATCCAACTGGCTCCTGCAGCAAGGGGGAACTCTTTATTCAATTTACACCGGGCCACATTTCGACAGGACGTTTGGCAGTAAGTGTTTGGATCACTCGGTGTTTTAAATCTCTTCGGTTTCTGGTTAACATTTTTCCACTAATATAGAACGTGCTTTGAATTTGATATTTTGATTACGCTTTAAAGGCTGGACCAGAATCTATTGTAGAAATTAATAGAAAGATATTGGCTGTGACTTAACCACATGAATCTGCATCAAAGATAACGAGCCAACTCATATCACTGTTGAATTTTGATGAATATTTGCAGATACCATTAAGTCATTTACAAAAATTTCTTGGAAAGTTGTGAAGTTTTGTTTTCTCTGTTTAACTCACTCTGTACAGATGCAAGTGGGCACTACACCTACTTCAAAGCGAATTCAGGGAACAACGCTATACTTGTCAGCCCTGCAGTTTCGCCAATTAGAGAACAGCTGGACAAGTGGTGTTTCAGTTTCTGGTACAATATGTATGGAAGCGGCATGGGTAAGGATTTTAAACCGTCCCAACCATATGGTTTAAACGCCTTTTTTATTTTCTTCATTCTCCATGAACTATATCTATTAATAATTAGACGTGATTGAGGCTGTTTCAGCTATTGTTAAGGTGCCATCTGGCAAGTAGATGAGAAGTTCCATCAATATAGATTGTGAAGCATTTTCATATAGGGCCTCGAAAAAGACAAATACCTGTGTGATTGTGGGAATCTTCTTTCAGTGCCCGGTCAACGTCATCTTCTGTGCGTCGCGTACAGCGTCACATTGTGTCGCGACATGTTAGCACAGCTAGGCCGTGATTTAGCCCATAATTTGAATGATGATACCCCGAATCACACAGGTATTTTTTGGTACTTATCCGGAAGGGAGCACTGCTAATGTCCCTAGACACCTTGCGCACGAGACGAAACATTTTTAAAAAGTATATATTTTGCATAAAGAATCAATGCTGGATAGTATTACTTATCACGATTTTAGAGGCTTCTCTCAAGTGAAAAATAACGAGAAAACCTGGAGAAATTGAGAGAAAAATGACCCGAATGTTTGGACCCCTGTACATTTTCAAAAGGTTGCTTACATTATTGTTTTCGAGTGAAAGGTCTTTTTCGTTATACAAGTCCACGTATGTATGTCAAATACTGTTAAAGGTAGTTCTCACAATTGGTGAGATCAATGAGGCTTTATGTTCTTTGGGTTAGAAAAGGAAGACTATCGTATACGGCTTTTACGGTGAAAATGTGGGATGAGCTCAACTCAGAGACTGATTTCAGGCTGCTCAAGTATGTCCACGTGTTGGCCTCTTTAGAGGTGGGCAAGTTGTTTGAGACCGGGTAATGAAGCTGATGGTCATCCCAAAAGATGTTTATATATTAGCTCGGTTTGCATCACCTGAGCCTCAGTAAAACTCTAGTGAAGTCTTTTAGAGATGAGAAAAGTCACACCCGGAGGCTTCATGATGATTTAGTCCTATATGTTTTCTTTTTCTAAGACAAGACCGCGAATGACGGGAATTGACAAACCCAGAGTGAGTTATATTGCCACACAACAGATCCTTGAGGAACACTTTAAAAAACCCTGGATTTGGGGAAGGTGAAATCTCCAATGCCAGGCCTATCATTACAAAACAGCCTGTAGGGAATTTACCTGGATATCTGTATAGCCTTATGCAGTGGCTTGAATGATGGTAGTCGTCTGGCTGGGCACAGTCACACGTAAAGCTTTAATAGTGAGCTTGCTCGGTTTTTTGAGCCGATGTTTGGGTAAATTAGCGAAGTGGGGTAACACAAAGGCGTGGACAAAGAAGTCTTAGCTTAGTCCAAAGAAAGTGATTAATTCGTCGTGATTTTATATTTTATTATTTTTTAACAGGAACTCTCAATGTGTTTAAGCTTCCAGTCAATCAGACAATCAGTGAGGGAGAAATCATCTTTACGAGAAGCGGTCAATATACGAACGGAACGGTTTGGTTAAAGGCCAGGAGTTGCTTGAGAAATGCTACGTCAGAATTTCAAATTGCCTTTCAGGCAGTCCGAGGGTACAACTCTTACTCGGACATTGCAATTGACGACATTGATATTGGTATGATTTTGTTCCTTTTCAGTCAAACATGATTTATCGCTACTGGTAAAACTTCCTAAAACTTGATATTGGTATGACGTTTGTCCTTTTCAGTCAAACATGATTTATTGCTACAGCTAAAACGTCCCTCGCTCATCTCCGAATCACACATTGTCATTGTTATTGGTTTAACTCACCCATTTCGATAAAACCAGGGACATGTGTCGCCTGGATGTGACTTTGGTTTGAATAATAACAAGTTCTCGACAAAAAGGGGAGTAAGTACTGATAATGAACACGTATTTTGTATATTTAAGTTTCATGGTTTCGTTTTCTGTCATTGGTTCCGTTAATTGGCGTCTTCGTTTTCCACAGTTATCCCTCGAATGTTTCTCTTCGATTCAAGTGAGGACTTTCCTTCTGATGCTGGAAAAGCAGTCCTTATGGAAGGAGAAGACCATGCATTTACGTGCATGGTTTCAGACATGAACCACGAGGTACAAATTGTCTGGACCTTTGCTGGACAGCAATTAAAACCAGTCAGTAATAGAAGCGTCGACACCGTCAACGGAGTAACCGTTAGCAGTAGTGTCGTTGTCTCACCTAACAGAGACATCCATGGAAAGACACTACAATGCGCAGCGTTCGACGCAGATGGTGAGCTGATCGGCAATATGACTGTATCAATCGCTGTAAAAGGTGAGAGGCAATTTCAAATGTGTATTTTACGTTTAGACGCAATGTAGCTTATCTGTACACTCCTTAGCCTCAAAACTAGTGCGATGTATTTCCCCCTTCTTTTACAGTAAAACCGAGGTCATCATTAATGTCCATGATTGGTCCCATTGGCAAACTAAGACCAGGTGGCACAGCGAACATTGCAACTGGTATATCACATACCTTTACTTGTCAGACAAAGGATACGTGGCCTGAGGCCAAAATTCAGTGGTATCTTGGTGACATCAGGAGAGATATATATCGACCTACTTTTAGAGGAAGCGATGAGTTGGCGACCACAAGAGACAGTTGGGCATTTACTCCTACCTCTGACAGCAGTGGATTGGAGTTGAGGTGTGTGGCCAGTGTTGAAGAGCCGTTCGACGCTCAGGCATCTTTTGCAGTCAGACTGGTTGTCAATTGTAAGTATTCACAGTTGGAATTGGAATAAGCGAACACATCTAGGATATTGCAAACTCATTAGGTCACATATATGTTGATTTGGATATTATGTGCTTTTTTTAGCGACAGTAGGTTTGAACTGCACCTTTGAAGAAGGGTGGTGTGGCTGGGAGCAGTCGACAGCAGACCGTACAGACTGGAAACTCCAGGTGGGATCGGCATGGAATGGCCCCGCATACGACAGGACCAACGGAGGTATGTGGACATTTTTGGATGTTCCAATGAAAGAATCACTGCTCGGCCAAAAAAAAAGGCAATTGCAATCTCGACTTTTAGCAAATTAACAACATCACATTGATGATTAATACACAAATGATAACATTTGAAACAAGAAAGCCATCGTCTCCGAGCCGGTCCTGTAGCTTTTTTTGAACAAAATGTCAAAGTTAAAACAAGTTTAAAAAATTGATAGGAAGGATAAAAATGAGTAGACCTACACAAAACCGAACCCTAAACATGCCTTAGCTACAAATCCAAATGCAAGTAACTTTGGAGCTAAACAATTGTAACACTGAAACTTCTGCCTTGAATGACATCCAACTTTGCTTATGAATATGGAAATTGCATTAATGGCAAAAGACATTGAAAATGCCCAAATGACGATTGAAAATGAAATTAAATAGAAGTAATTGCCAGTGTTTAAGTTGTTCGACTAAACAAAATGTATTCTTCACGTTTTGTGTGAACAAAGCTTTATTTGATGCACACTTCACGGATTCACACAAACGTATTCTTTTCAGATTACACGGGCCGTTATGCCTACTTTCGTGCGTCATACTGGTCCGAGGGCAGCAACGCTGTGTTCGTCAGCCCCGCAGTTGTTCCGAGCAAAGAACAGATCGGCAACTACGCGTGGTGTTTCAGTTTCTGGTACAACATGTACGGAAGAAATATGGGTAGGCCTACGTATTTTAATATAGACAAAAACAAAAAATGACTTCACCTGAGGCACAGGCCCGCTTCACAGCGAGTGATATCAACGCAACAGCAGTCTCGCACGTTAGGCAAAATAGCGTACGTTTGTAAAATATGGAAATAGTGCACCGAAAAAAAAAACCTCGGAGATTTCAATGTACTTAAAATTTATTCCATTGCTCATTGATGTTAGATTTTTTGTAAATAATAAAATGCTGTTTTAATTTGTATTGTAAATACAACTGAAAAAAAGAGACCCTATAAAAAACACAAAATTAATTATACGTTAGTTGAGCATAGAGCAGCATTTGAAAAATCACTACAGAAACTAGTCGTGTGATCTTTAACTTCCTTTAGGTGGGCCTATTCTTGGATGTTTAAAATTTCGATATTTCATGAATTTAATCTCTCTTTGAAAGACTTTTAAAAATACATTAACCCTTTTTAGGTACTCTAAATGTGTCTCGCGTGCCTGTTGGCGGTTCAGTCACTGAAGGTGAAGTTCTGTTTTCAAGAAGCGGTGAGCAAACGAACCGGACAACATGGCTGGAGGCTGAGATTTGTATCACGAATTTATCTTCGAGCTTCTTCATAGCGTTTGAAGCGATTCGTGGCAACGGCTACTACTCAAATATTGCCATCGATGACGTGAAATCCCAAGGTAACAATTTATACATTTCCAATGAAAATCTAATGTCTATTACATTAAGTAAAAAAACAACTCTTTGTTTCTTACGAATACGAGTGAAATCCGCCCAGACATGTTTGTTCACGAGATTTTAAAATGATTTTCTAGTCACTTCTGACAATTAACGTTTATGCAAGGACAGTTTTGGTAGAAACTTCCATTACGAAAATACACTGTACATGCACTTGATATATATTTGCACTATTTGGTGTAGAAAAAGAAAATAATTGAAAAGTTAAAAGTTATACTTGTAGACGAGATGCCCAACTTGCTCAACTCTTTTATACCTGCTTTCTTTCTTTTCAGTGCCATGGACATCTATCACGTTATTTGAATGGTTTGGATACTACCTCTCTATGGGAGACATAGTGTATGTGTCGGATGGAGAGCATTATCCATTCACGTGCACCGTACCTGGCATAAGAACACCCGTCTCGCTCTCATGGACGCTAGGGGGAATGGAAGTTTCTACAGTCAAAAACAAGAATCTCACAGATGCCGACGGTTTCACCACTACCACCAGTACAGTTACAATACCCATTTCTGGCAGCAATCACGGGGAGCTACTTGAATGCATGGCTTTTGTCGAAGGGAGGCATCCCGTCGTCAACATATTCGTTACTCTTGATGTGAAAGGTAAAAAGTTTCCAGTAAACGTCTTCCCTTTCATTTTGGTGATGCTTTGCCTTTCCCGACTAGAACGATTATTTCTATCAAAAACAGTGGCCAAGTCTGAATTAAAAACAGTTACAAGCATTGCTGATACTTTTCGTCTGTAAAAACAATGGCATATTTTTAGCCCACCAAAAGGTTATTACATGTTTCACCTTTCTCCTTATATGCAAATAAATAGACACCAATAGAACATAGTTCCTGTAACCTAGCCAAATTAGGGGAAAACAGCACGAGAAATTAATAAATCACGGTGGAACAGTACGGTGCATCCGTAAGCCCATAACAACCCTTAAATAGATGAAGGTCCAAAACAAGCCTTGAAAAGGTTCAGCCTGAGATAATGTATCTAGTAGGCTTGGATGGACAAATGTTTCTTGTATTATCAATGCCAAAGTTGTACTTCTTATTTTTTTTTCATGTTATTTAGTAAAACCAAGAGAATCGAATATGCTGTTGCATATTACAAACCAGACTACGACCGATTCTTCACCTGGCATGGACGCAGGTACACTACAATATTTCACGTGTGAGATATTGGGCATCAGACCAGCAGCGACTATTGAGTGGTTCTTGGATGGTGTTTCACAGCACATCGTAAGCCCGCCCCCTGGAGAAGACGATTGGTTGGTTGACGTGTCAGACACATGGTCATTCACGCCCTCAAGAGCCAATCACGGCCAGGAAGTGAAATGCGTAGCAAACAACACGGAGTCAGAGGAACCGTTTCCATCAAAGGTCCTCACCGTTCTCGTCAATGGTAGGCATTTTAACTGCATTTATCTTCAGAAGTTGTTGATATTGAATCGACGCTTTCATTATGAGTCACGGAAACTTCTCCATTTATGTCCAAAAGACAAACCCTAAAACATAATAAATTGTGTTTGAAAGGTTTTAAACAAGTTCCTATTGCAGTTATTAAAATAATAATAAATGACAACTAGGCTTATCCACGAGAGTAAGAGATTACAGATGAGACACCTCCGATATCAAGTGAGAAAGTGAGGGACCATCTGCTGGAAACACATTTTCATGGTACACAAAACACATTTTCTGACCAAACAATTGCCAAACATCCATGTAACTATTTTAATTTTTTACAGGACCACCAGACAGTCTGGCCATTACTGGTTCCCCTACCATGACTTCTAATAAACCCAGCATTTTGGTGTGCCGTGCGTACACGGGATATCCAGAAAGCTGGAATCTGGTTTGGTCCAATGGCGACACACCTTTGCCGAGTCCAACAACCGTATATGCATCATTTGGCAGTGGATTCATGTTCACAAGTACCCTGGCTTTCACACCGAGGAGAGAAGACAATGGAAACTACATAACCTGCTCTGCACAAAAACCTTCGTGGAACAGCCCAACCGAAGTTGGATACTTTGGTCCAGTAAACGTTCAGTGTAAGTATACGCTAACAAGGCTGTCGCCATTGCTTTATCCTGTGGCGTAATCCTTGTGCGTACATGCGCTCCTAACCGTAAACCTCGTACATTCACATGGTTCCTTCTGAGACATAAAACATAATACAACAATGGCATCAGTTTTCAGAAATCCAAATTCTATGGAGTTTGAGATTGCATTGAAAACAAAGGAAAACAAAAGAAGGGAAACAAAGGTCTTCCCCCAAGTATATGTAAATGAGATATTGGGGTTTTTTTTACGACTGAGGACTTGGGAAAATGGGGTGTGTGGGATTACAATAACCCCGAGGAATTGAGCCAAGTCTTCGTATGATGAGGTGTTTGTGAACAACCCTTACGAGACGTGCTAAGAAAAAGTAGGAGGTCCGTAAATAAAGTATAGGATAAGACGACAGTGTGGCTGGGTGAGCATGTATGGCAGTGTGGCTGGGTAAGCAATCGTGTAGCTAGGACAAAAGGGTTAGAGCACAAGCAATAATGTCTATGATTTACCTAACGTCCACGATTGAAATTCGTGTACAAAACCAATTAGAGCTGTTGATAAACAAAGGAATGAGGATCATTGCCGGTGTTTACGAAGATGTACGTGTGCGGTGTGTGTGTATTCTTGCAGGAAAAATAATTAATTCTAATAACCAACTTGGTCAGCGTGGTCAAGCGATCAGTTTTCTGCAGTGCAATCTCAGGATGGACGACAATAATTCTAATCCTTTCATTATTCTCGGCAGCTGGAAATACTTGTAGTTTTTTAGGTAGAAATGCCAACATTTGATACATTTCCAATCCGACCCCTTAATATATCCACAGATCGGCCGGAGTTCACACTCATACAAGTCTACCCTGTAGGACAAATTATCGAGGGAGATGACGTCATTCTGTCATGCGGTGCAGACGCCAATCCCAAGCCCACAAACTTCATCGCGTGGGAGAAGGTCGGGTCTCCTGACTCCTTACCCTCCTTCTACCGCGATGGAACTAGCACGCTGACACTAAGCAACATCAGCAGGGAGCAGGCTGGGACGTACAGGTGCAGCGGAGACAACGGTGTACCACCCGTGGTTTATTCCAACCAAGTCGACGTCATTGTGCGTTGTAAGAGCTTGTATTTTTGAGCCAACAAATAACGCCCGGTAGTGGAGCGGCATTGTTTCAAGAATTGATTTTTGATAAAACATGAAACTTCGCCATTGCATTAATCATACCAGGGAATATTTTTTTCAGATATGGAAGCATTTCATATTTGATATCTGGTTACCTTTGAGAGGTCAGTGACATTTGCATACTCTATTTACAACAATTATTCTTCAACTTACTTTCCTAGCAACCAAGTCGACGTCATCTACTGTTGTAAATGCCACTTTTTTCATGACCCAAATATAAACGTTGGGCCTTTGTGTTATGAAAAGAATTTCCAGATGTGGGGATATCATATCTGACGTCGGATACCGTACGAGAGGTCAATAAACTTTGTATACCTAATTTTCGCTATTTTCTTATTTATTCGCCAAAACGCCATTTTCTCGCGACCCTCAATAGTGCAAACGAAAGGTATTGCACCTATTATTGTACAGTCAGGTTGTGAATTCAGACCCAAGACAATGAAAACAACATAACCTGCTCTGCACAAAAACCTTCGTGGAACTGCCCAACCGAAGTTGGATACTTTGGTCCAGTAAACGTTCAGTGTAAGTATTCGCTAACAAGGCTGTCGCCACTGCTTTATCCTGTGGTGTAATCCTTGTGCGTACATGCGCTCCTAACCGTAAACCTCGTACATTCACATGGTTCCTAATGGGACATAAAACATAATACAACAATGACATCAGTTTTTAGAAACCCATATTCTATGGAGTTTGAGTTTTCAATAAAAACAAAGGAAAACAAAAGAAGGGAAACAAAGGTCTTCCCCAAGTATATGTATGTGAGATATTGGTGGTTTTTTTTACGACTGAGGACTTGGGAAAATTGGGTGTGTGGGATTACAATAACCCCGAGGAATTGAGCCAAGTCCTCGTGAGATGAGGTGTTTGTGAACAACCCTTTCGAGACGTGTTAAGAAAGAGCAGGAGGTCCGTAAATAAAGTATGGGATAAGACGACAGTGTGGCTGTATGTGCGCATGTATGGCAGTGTGGCTGGGTGAGCAATCGTGGAGCTAGGACAAAAGTGTTAGGGCACAAGCAATATGTCCATGATTGACCTAACGTCCACGATTGAAATTCGTGTACAAAACCAATTAGAGCTGTTGATAAACAAAGGACTGAGGATCATTGCCGGTGTTTACGAAGATGTATGTGTGTGGTGTGTGTATTCTTGCAGGAAAAAATAATTAATCCTAATAACCAACTTGGTCAGCGTGGTCAAGCGATCAGTTTTCTGCAGTGCAATCTCAGGATGGACGACAATAATGATAATCCTTTCATTATTCTCGGCAGCTGGAAATACTTGTAGTTTTTTTACGTAAAAATGCCAAAATTTGATACATTTCCTATCCGACCTCTTAATATATCCACAGATCGGCCGGAGTTCACACTCGTACAAGTCTACCCTGGAGGACAAATTAACGAGGGAGATGACGTCATTCTGTCATGCGGTGCAGACGCCAATCCCAAACCCACAAACTTCATCGCGTGGGAGAAGGTCGGGTCTCCTGACTCCTTACCCTCCTTCTACCGCGATGGAACTAGCTTGCTGACGCTAGGCAACATCAGCAGGGAGCAGGCTGGGACGTACAGGTGCAGCGGAGACAACGGTGTACCACCCGTGGTTTATTCCAACCAAGTCGACGTCATCGTGCGTTGTAAGAGCTTGTATTATTGAGCAATCAAAGAACGCCTGGTAGTGGAGCGGCATTGTTTCAAGAATTGATTTTTGAAAAAAACATGAAACCTCGCCATTGCATTAATCATGCCATGAAACATTTTTTTTTTCAGATATGGAGCCATTTTATACTTGATTTTTGGTAACCTTTGAGCGGTCAGTGACGTTTGCATACTCTATCTATATATAACAATTATTCATCAACTTTACTGTCCTAGCAACCAAGTCGACGTCATCTACTCTTGTAAATGCCACTTTTCATGACCCAACTCTAAAAGTTGGCCTCTTTTTGCTATGAAAAGAATTTTCAGATGTGGGGATATCATATCTGACGTCAGATACCGTACGAGAGGTCAATGAACTCTGTCATCTAATTTTTGCTATTTTTCTTATTTATTCCCTATTATTCTGCAGTCTGGTTGTGAATTAAGACCAAATGTTGATGTGACCTCTGACCTCCATTTCCTTTTTTTATTGGCAGACGCAACATGATGCGACTGGAATAGAAGTCTATGGGAGTTTTTGCAATGAAATATTTACAAATGTAAAGCACTGTTCACTCATTTGTACTAATTACACTCTGTTGATGTGACTTGGGTAACCACATTTTTAACCTTTGGTCATTGTTAGAGTGTCATGCTTGCCCAATATACCTCTTATATTCTGTTGCGTCTGCCCTTAAAAAGGGAAAGGAGATCAGAGGTCATGACAAGATTGTCTTTGGGCTCTGAAAATTCATGACCTGCTTCTTTTTCACCATTGAACGAAGTTCATTGACATCGCAAAAACACCAGAAGACAGATATGAAATGTCCACACATCTGAAAATTCACACCATGCCAAGAATACCAAAGTGCTATACATGGGTCATAAAAAAGTGGGGTCTTAAATAGTACATCTTGCAAATATCTAATATTGGAAAAACAAAGTTCATTTACCACTTGAAGGTCACCAGAGGTCTTATATGTAATTTTCTCGTATTTGGTCATCATTTTCATTGTATGCATCCTAAGGTCATATGGAAGTGGTGTTTTCAAGAATATTAGGTATAAACAGATTACGTTGAGGTCATTGACCTTAAAGGTTAACAGAGGTCAGATATGAAATACCGCCATATGTGAAAATTTCTTCCGCGCATGAAGATGAAAGCTTCACTCTCTTATCACAAATTGCACAATTCTTGGAATATTGGGGCTATGCCGCTCCACTATTTGATTACTCGCCATCCATATGCATATGATAGTAAATGTGCATAGTAGCGTAAATTGATTGTTACGTTTTATGTTGAAATTTCGTGACAGATAAGCCCCATCCTCCGGGGGCCGTCTTGATTCGTACTGGGAAACTATCGTCTGAGTCGCTCACGGTCACCTGGACTCCAAGGAGCGCCGGAGACGAACCGCAGTGGTACCGTGTCAACCATCGCGAGCTGGAAACCACCACTGACTTCAGCCCCAGCACGCAAAGCGGAAGACTCTACCATGTCAGCGAGTACACAGTGTACGGTCTGCGGCCCGACACCGAGTACGAGGTCGAGGTTTACGCTGAGAACGCCTATGGTGCGAGTGAAGTTTTGACAACAGTCGGAAAGACCCTTTGTAAGTCTCGTAAAAACAATATTTGTCTTGTCAATACGCACTCCAACGAAATGACGCCACACTTTGATATTCTTCAGGGAAGCCATGTTTAAAGGAAAGCCACCTGGCTCCTATAAACCTTATGCGTAGGGCATGGGCATCGCCAGGATTTTTTTCCGGGGGGCGGGGGGCAAAGCGAATTGTTCCCCAAAATGTCTTAACTTTTTCTCAATTTATAATATTTCCGAGCGTGAGCAGGGGAGCATTTGCCCTACCCCCCCATCACATAAACAGCAATATGGCTTCGCACCTCTTTTTCCATTCCCCCCCTCTCTTCCCCCCCCCCCCATTTTCCGGGGGGGGGGAAGCGCCCCTGCCCCTCTCGCAACGCCCATGGCGCAGGGGCCATCTTAGAGGCCAACTTTTGTTGATTTAACTCAGTAGCAATGCATTTACGAAAAAGTTCACTCATGAGTATCTAAGCAAAACAAAGCATTGCCCCCTAAGATGGCTGCTGCGCATAAGGTGGATAAGAAAGTGTACATGTAGTAAAGCGTGTCGTCATTATGTCTAATGTCTACTTTTTTGGATTTGTGCGTTTACATGTTTGCATATAATTATTTCCCTTTTTTTGGCCAAATGTTGGCCAAAAGATTACGCCCTTTTCATACTGGCCAAATCAGGAATTGCCTTAAATATGACGTCGCACACTTTCGTTTACGGTAGAAGTACATTAAAACTGATATATTGAATCTTTTATTAGCACCTGTTGCTCCCTCAGTCGTCGGCATACTGACAAGCTGGCCGTTTTTAACTGCCATCAGTGTACTGGGGATACTTTTGTTCATCAGCATCGCGATACATACGGTCGGCTGCTTCTACCGTAAACAAAAGAAGGGTAAGAGCTATCATTTTTGAAACTATAAGATGATGGTTAATTAGTCATTTTATGCCTCCTCCAAAAATGTTCAGATCAGTTGTATACCATGTAATACACACGGAGTAACTTTCTTGAGAACTCAAACTTTATATGCCCCGATAAAAAATCCCTTTTCTGATGAGAGAAGAGGCGACAATTCACAGATCTTTACATTTTCTCTAAAGATCTGAAACCAAAGTCACAATACATGTCTCATATTTAGTTATCCTCAGAAATTTCTAATATTTCCCTAAGATCCATTGAGATAATTCTCAAATTAAAATTATGTTCAATGGTAGTTTTTTTTTGTACTAAATCCAACCTGACCTAAAGTTAATCATAATAGTAGGTAAACACTGTTGGACAAGCATTACATTCACTGTGTGGCAAAGTGAAGAGAAACACTAAAGGGAATCATAGGGGGAAAAATGGGTTAGAAGAGTTTTCACAGTTTGAGAAAAATGATTTTTTATCACTGGTTTTTGTTTACTTCACGAAAACAAAGGAATGTCCACACTAGGTATGTAAAACAAACATGGGTGTGTACTTTACATAGGATCTGCCCATTGCATTGTATCTTGTTGTCGTTAAAACCATTTCAACACTTTTACTTTCTTCACAGGACAACAAGTTGTTTCTCAACGGTAAGTACATATGTGATTGGTTAGAAACGAAACAGTGTTGAGAATTTGTTGAAATTTCTTAGCAAAGCCCACGTTTCATCAAGCGTTTACCTTGATATTGGTTACAGAAGAGAACGAACAATAAAATTGGCATGGTTGTAACAAGGTTATTTTTAATGACCTGTAAAATTACTACGTTTATTAACATAATTAAGCAACGTAACCTCAATTCAAAGTTTCAAATATTGTCAACATGTAAACAAAAAAACAAACAATTGATATACCACGTATGATGTAACGTAAAAATATCCGTGTATTCCGGAGAGTTAGTACTCTAAATAACATATGTTTTTACAGCGTCCATATGCTTCAATATAATACTGGAAAACTTTCAAGCTTTATTCCCAGTGTACCGTCATACGAGCTTTAGTTAAGATTCTGTAGGGCGAAGCTTTACCTTACCGTCATTCTTGAAAATATTAAACTCCTTTCTTAATTGCTTATTTGCAGCAGAGCTGGGACCGGAGGTCAGGTCCGGTTCGTTGCAGGTACAGGATGCCACGAAAACATGGGTAGGTAAAATAAGATATACATTTTATATATAAAAACATCCAAACAAAACGACATGAGGGTAACTTGTTCATTTTAGAATTTCTGCCTGCAGTAGTAAATCTGGTGATATATATTAAGCGTAACTTGAATGAAATATGTAACACATCCGTGTTGGATTTTTTTGTGATGAAAAATAATACCCTTTGCAAATGATTATAAGGCTTTCCCTTTTCTGAGTCGTTTTCAGGTTCTTGTGCGATTTCTGGGCAAAGAAAAACGTAGAGTAAAATGTTCGCAGTGTGTAACTGATAAAGTTTCGTTCCTTTAAACCATTGCTATGACGTCACACTATTGTTAAAAGTGTGGATTCGGAGCGAAGAATCTTTAGTAAAGTGTGGATTCGGAATTACGAATCCACACTTTGAACACGTTGGACAATTGTTCTCCATAGTAAGCATTAGTAGGACCGTATACGGGAACATTTCCTTCCGAAATTACCAATGCATCTTCACTGTCATTCACTGCCGTCACCGCAAAGCCTACTTCGAGTCAGAAAGAAATCATCGTCTGAACTATCCATAATGTCGACGCGGCGGAAGGAGCCAGGAAAAATGTTGCAACCTGACGCTACTTTTTTTCTTCATATATCATCTCAATGAAGGTCATTCACTGCAAAAATGATGATAAGACATGAATCTGGGACTGAGAAATATTTCCAATTTGTTAGGAAATACTTGGAAAATTTTCTTGACTCTCCATTTACTTTGTACACAATCGCGGAAGTCGCGTCAGGTTGCAACATTTTTTCCGAAGTCTTTTCATCATCTCCACTCACTGTTAATGCCAATACTTCTTTTGACGCAATGGTTTAGGTCGAAGAATACACTCGCAAGTGTGGATCCTTAATTTACGAATTCACTTACGAATCCACACTTTCTTGTGTATTCTCCTTAACAGATATACGCGCTGTTACAAGTGCAGTTTAACTATACAGAACGGTGGAGTACGGCCCAAAATGAAAAGACATAGAGTGAGGGCCTTGGTAAATTACTGGATCACTCGATTACTCACGCTGTATTTGAGTTACATGTAAAGGGATTTCAGCCTCAACCTGACTTATATATTTGGATATACATGTACATGGATATACATGTACATGTATATCAAGGAGTGCTTTTGAAGGCTTCTCGTATGAAATGCTTATTTTCAGGGATCCCTATGCAACCCATTCGCGCAGTCGTAAGTGATCCGATTGAGTCTACCTATGCTGACATCCCGGACTGCCGCGCAGCTATCTCGCGAGATCAGCTGACCTTCCTGCGAGAACTGACCCAGGGCACCTTCGGGAAGGTGCTACTTGCAAGAGCCGTGGGCATCGAGCAGCGAGGCCTTATCACCCATGTGGCTGTCAAAACAGTAGAAGGTGAGGACTCTGTTAGGACTCCGTGCTTTAGTGAAGTGCCGTGGCCACGTGGTCTGGAGCATTGAGTTCGTGGTCTGCAGGTAATTCTGCAGGTTGTGGGTTCGAGTCCAGCCTGGTTGTCACTCATTTAAACGGTTGTTAAACACCGGCTGACTGGTTTTAATTACTTTTTCGGTGTCACTTGAAATTTGGACTCCTGTGAAATCTGGTCCATTATATAATTGTATTGGTTAAACGTTCACAATCTTCACTTACGCGTGCGCAATACTGCTGATGCTTTGTATTTAGAGAGTCCTAATTAGACCTTCTTACTTATATGAATAGATAGATAGATAGATAGATAAATGGTTTATTAAATCAGCTTTCTCGCCACCTGTAGCGGAATTGTGTGAAGCTGTAACAATATATATAAAGAATGCATCAATTTAAAAATACTAAAAAGTAATCATTACAATTATATTATTAAGAAATGATGAAACTAAAATTTAAGGACCCTAAAACTGATAAAATAGCAAATCAACAATTACATGTTTAACACATTAAAATGCAGTAAGAAATAGGGTGAGTGGTAGGGGAAAAGGACATCGACATGGTGGGAAGGGAAAGGCTACATTATTCAGGAAGGGAATGGGAATCCACAGTAATGTTTAGAATATAAATTTGGGATATTGGGATGAGGATGTGTCAGACACAATGTACAATGAATACAAATCTCAAAACATACAATGTAGGTGAGCTGCTGTCAAAAGTTACCTTTTACCAATGCACAAATTAAGTCATGGAATTAATTAATCGGATTAAGTACGGGATTGCACTATTTCTGAATCTATGTAATATATGATAATTTATGCAAAACGGGGGCGTGAGACCAGACGCCAGAGTGGTCCATTGCAAATGTTCAGAGGTACAAACATTCGGGTAATTTTCTCTCAATTTCTCAGCGGTTTTTACTTTTTTTATTGAGGAAAGTCTCTAAAATCGTCATAAGGAATACTATCCAGCCAGACCTGAAAAAATATATGTTTCGTACCGTGCGCAAGATGTCGAGGGAAATTAGTGGAGCTCCTTTTAGCACAGCCGACAAAAAATACCTGTGTGATTCGGGGTACCATACACCAAATTTCTGGCCAAATCGCGGGCTGAATCACAGGCTGCGCCGAAACAAGGGAGCTCACAGTGTGTCCCGCATAGCGGACCTCTTGTGAGTTGACACAAAGTGCTATGTACTGTTCATACACAGAGTGTGTATACATATTCTCATCCTAGAAATATTGAGAAGTGTAGTCGCTCTGAATTGTATTGTTTGTGAGATAATGTTCTTGCTTAAATTTTACATATCATGTAGATGAAAGCGACCCGAAGGAGAAAGAGAACCTGATTCGAGAGTTGAATGCAATGAAACCTCTCAGTGATCACGTGAATGTCGTTAAGCTCCTTGGATACAGCATGGACGAAGGTAATACGACAGACATAATCGGCCTACTTGTACAGAACTTGATTATAACCGGTTAGCTTTTGAATTCGTGACTGCACTTAGTATCGGCATTTTTAAAGAGGTAGCATTTTTAAGAAATTAAATTTTCTTTCGCAATGATATAAACTGAGCTTATCTTTATTCTTAAAAACCACGGAAAACTAAAGTGTCACTCAAATGAATACTAAACCCGTAAGAATTTACATGAGCTTTCATAGATACAACTCCTTCATTATATAGATGCGGTTGCTTTACTACGAAAGCTTATGCAAACTATACTTATTTTATTAACCCCTTAAGGATGGGAAGCGGTCATGGCCGCGGCCGCTAATCCTCATTGGAATGCAGTTGCCAGCTGTGGTATGCCGTGGCACACGGCTAGTGGGTAGTTCCACAGCTGCTGCTTTTGTGCAGTATTGCTACCACACAAAGGCTGTGCAGTCATGCGGGCCACTTATTGCTCTATGTGTGGAGGAATGTCCCCATTACACCCCGTCCTTAAGGGGTTAAGCAAACGTTAATGTTTGATAATCATATTGTTACCCTACTTTTCCATGTGTTTTTGCCCGACTAACGCGGCTGCTAAGAACTAATAATTTTTTAAACCATGTATAATTAGCCACTTGTGCGATTTTCCCCGATATGTAATACGCACTGAAGAATATTACGGTTTCCTAATTGAGGATAAACACAAGGTGATACATGTACACAATGGCGGGATTTGGTAATCGAAACTTCAATCTGCAACTATTTTTCATTCCCTCAATACAAAAGGAACATCTATTTCAAACATGGGTGTTGCGATGAATGTTTTGTTACACTTTGTGAAGCCCATGGTTTCTGAATCTATATTGCTAACCGTGGAACAGCTATAGGGCGTTGTTTTCAATTATGTCGGCATTATTTTGATTTTCATGCATCAGTTATGTCAAAATTTGTATTTGGCGATGAAGTGCGCACGCAAAGATGCAATGCCAAACTAGTTTATTCAGCAGTAGTGGGAAGAATAGATATTTGGTTATATTTCATCCCCGGCCCCCTAACTGGCGAAATAATTACAAATGTTAGTAGTTTGTGGTAATCCTTGCCATGCATTCGTGCTACAAGGCCTTCTATATGAAAGGTCATGGAGAGGTCAAATAGAGCATTGTTCGCACCACACCACACACATGTGAACCTACAGTAAGTTGTCTCTTTCGTTAGCCCAACAAAGTTATCCAAAGTTACGTAGTTCATACATCATGTACATTGGCAATCCCATACACAGACCCGATTTACGTCATCATGGAACACGCGGCGAATGGGAACCTGAAGGAGGTCCTTGCTGAAAGTTGCACCAAACAGGTGTATGACAACCTGCGAGGGGCTGTGTGCGCATCCCTCACACCCAACGCTCTGCTTAGTCTGGCCAGCGGCGTGGCCGAAGGCATGGCTTACTTGGCTTCACAAGGGGTGAGTCTGTTACGTCCCAACTACAGCAATGACGCAAACTATATTTGGGACATTCCGTACTGTAATCGGGGCCTGTTTATGGTATTAAAGAAACACATGGAAATCTGGTCGATGCCTATACGGGGTCACCTGACGCGTGTTTAAGGGCAAATGATCTTGATTTTAACCTCACCGACTGACTGAGTGACTGACTGAATGATGGCCGACTGTCACTCGGAGCCGGGCAGTGCTATCATGTAGGACTGCCCCTTAATGCCAATGAATGGGATAAATCCGACCCATTGTGTAGACACGCGTTTGAAGAGACTTCCGGTTAATGCCTATTCTGAATCACTTGAAATGATTTTGTGTGCTCTATGGTGAGCTTTAACTGACTTTCATCTTCTTGTTTGATTACATTAGTGTCTTCATAAAGACCTTTCCGCCCGCAACGTTCTCGTCAGCGAAGATATGGTAAGCAAGCTATCCGATTTTGGATTCGCCAGTGACGTCGCCGCAATGAGAACATACCAACGCAAGAGCACGGTATATATAATTGTTTATTCCAGAATGGGCAATGCTTGTCGATTTCAAACTTTTTGATTACAAACAACCAGGACGACAATAGAATGTGAATTTACATGTGCATTACATTATTCGACATCGTAGATTTTCCACTCTCCAGTATTCCTGACTTCGATTTATGTGTTGTCCTTTTGATATACAAAAATTTAAATTTGTATTAAATTAAGTTTGCGCAAATTGTTTGTGCGGGAATTTTTTTTCCACATTGGAAAAATATCGTTTGTTTATTTTAAACTTTTATCATGTTTTTTTTTTTTTGAATATTGGATATTTAAGGCTGCATAAAAATACATGACATTTTGAAAATACAGCATTAAAATTCATTACTTTAAAATTAGAAATCAATACAAAGGAAATGAGAAGGACAAACTGCAAAGGCAACGATATTGGCTGGACTAAGATAAAAGAAAGCAGTAAATTATATCATATGCAGGCCTGCAACATTGCCTAAGATGCAAAAACAAAAATATGGAGCGGCACTCCAACTACAAGACACATAATCAATAGCAGCAACGACAATATTGCATTACATGTTAAACATCAAGGTTTGTTTTCAAAGTAATATTACGCCATTCCATTGAGAATTGTTTTAGTGCTTTTCGGGTAATGTTCTTCAACGTGCATGCTATCAGGACGTTTGTTATGCAATTATATTGGTAAATATTATTTTGTTTTGACGTTCAGGGATTTTCCCCTTTGCGCTGGATGGCGTTGGAGTCCGTTCTTGATGATGTGTACACAACAGAGAGTGACGTGTGGTCTTTTGGGGTTCTGCTGTGGGAAATAGTAACCCTCGGTATGACGATCTCCATGTGTTTAAAACTATGAAGCTCATTGACCATTGCGGGCTGTGCACGCATTTTTTTAAGCTAGGCAAGGGCGGATCCAGAACACAATTTTTTTTGGGGGGGGGCCAAAAAATGTTGGTCCCCCAAAAAAGTGGGTCAAAAAAATTACGGCGTGGGGTTCGGGGCCCGCTCAAGGGCCCCGAAAATGTTTTGGATTCTAGATGCTCTGTGGTGCGATCTGAGGCAATTTCTGACCACTTTAACCAATGTTTTTTTGAGGAAAAGATGGTGGTGTACTCATTGCCTGCCTTTATTGCGATGTCACATAAAAACAAAAACAAATTGGTTTCGTTTGGGGGGGGGGGGGGCATGGCCCCCTTTGCGCCTCCCCCCTGGATCCGCCCTTGAAGCTCGGCACTGGTTCCTTTTCTCCTGCAGTGCACGAGAAAACAGTTTGCTGAAAGTTGCCAGCACGTCACCACAATATCCAATTTGTAAACAAATGTAACTGGTCTATTTGAAGAGCGCCTTTGTCACGCCTTTGTTCATAATTGTTACTCGCGACCAACTTATTATACTTGACATATGATTTGACTTGTGATCTGATTTGTGATGACTTGAACTTTCACTTGTGATCGACTTGATTTACAAAGCTTGTTTTCAATTCTAATTTTTCTCACAGGTGGCCACCCCTACCCGACCCTGAGTGCCAAAAAAGTGATTTCCAAAGTGAAGTCAGGGTACCGGATGCCCCGTCCCGATCACTGCTGCATGCAATTGTAAGTTTCATTACATAAAATAAATTCTGTATGATTGCAGTTTGAAACATGCGGAAACGCTTTGTGTTATAGCAGTGATTGGTTAATGTGGTATTAATTAGAAGAGTTCAAGGAAACAGCTTAGATTATCGGTGATTATTTCTTGACACTTAATTATGCATTATCTGTAAGTAATAATGTGACAGAAATAATCATTCCCCAGTGCGGAACCGATCAAAGTATACGACCCTCAAATGTAATGGTACAATATAAACCAAAATGTTTGTGGAGCAAAATGAAAATGAAATTGTGAATATGGATGTAGTGGTCGACCCTACTGTATTAGTCAGAGGGGGAGATACGTCCACCAGTTAAGGAGGATGATCTTAAGTGGTTGATGATTTATTACGGTAATATCCAGTATGAGGGGAATCTTACAATCACAAGTAAACTAAAACCCCAAGAAGCAACCTACGAAAGAAACAGAAAAAAAATATTTTGAGTTCTCTGCAGCATGTACATTCATACTTGAAAATCAATAATTTATACAGTAGAAAGCAAATTTTCAGTACGAGTTGCATATGAATTAACTTCTAGTTTAGACTTACCCTAACGTCTAAAAGTTGGCCAAACTATATCAGAAACACCAGATATAGCTAGGGCAAACAGGCCTTGCTTCCGATCTGCAGGAGTCAAGTATGGGAACTGTCTCTGAAAACGCGCAGACTTTGCAAGTTCAATGTATACAAGTTTAAACAAATGTATACATTATAAGCCATTTGAAAAGTGATCGTGAAAATTCTTTGCAATTAGCACGTGTGGGCCAAAATTATACAAATAAAGATCAAAGATTACATGACTAGGAGGTCCCCCAGATCCCCACATGGATATCACACCTTATCCTTCCTTTTGTCGTTTTTTCTCATAGTATGTTAAAACTTAGAAAAAGGGGAGAAACACTTTTGGTCAGTGTTATTTGCCAAATCTTGAAAAGAAGTTACCACATTGTTGTTTCATTTGGGTAAATAATCACCAATTATTTAGAAGGATTTGTCTAAGGTTGAGTTGGTATATTGATCATTATTGGGCTAAATATGAACTCCATTTGCACATTTTACTTTACAGTGTATAGATCATTGTGTTTAAACGCTAAGGTTCCGTGGCCTGTTTTGTTGTCTCAGGTACCAAGTGATGCTCTCTTGCTGGTCTAAGAACCCGGCAGCCCGACCTACATTTCCAACGCTCAGTGAGAAGCTAGGTGGACTGTTGGAAAAAGCTAACGTGAGTAGGCCAATCAAAAGTCCAGTGATTATTTCAAGAGGGTCTTGGTTTTGATTCTATCACTAATAAACTAAGGATTGGGTGACGTGAGCGTCAGGTTTGAAATCACAGGTTGTCAAATTTTTTCATGTCAATTATTTCATACCTGCTATAAAGGAAATTAATTTTAGTAGACCTAATAAAAAAAAAGTTATATGAAGCGGCCTTGACTTAGACTTGATCTAGAAATTATATATTGAAAATTGGGTCGAGTGAAGCTGACACGCTGGAGGTTCCAAAATTCCAATGCGTTGGTTTCATTGCCTATTTACACATTTATTCTTGAGAGTTATTTCATACCAGCAAAGTGTCCACTGCAAGCGGCGTGTTAACAATTTCACCAATGAGAGCATATTGAATAACATGGGATTCATGGATGTGTCTTTGTTACATCACATTGCTTACTCTGTCTTTTTGTATTTTAGGAATCCATATGGTTGGAAAGCTGCCAGGAGAGCATCTACAAAATGTCGGTCGCAGGTGGATCAGACTTTGAAAAGATCTAAGCGAGTAATCCAGCGAGTGTGCACCATGAAAAAGACCTCATTCGAAATTGTACCTTATAGATGTACATTTTGGATGCAGATTTTGCTTAAGTTCTGAATTAATAGTGTAACCAAGTAGTAAAAAAAGATAAGAAAACTAAATCAAAAATGAAGAGCTTACAGGCCCGTGAAGTTCAAGTGAATCACAAGAGATTTTAATGAGACCACAAAAATTCATTACATACAAAGATTAATCTAATAATAAATCGGGAGTGAGAAGTCAGAAAGTTGTCCAACTACAATGTGCTTATAAAATATCTGTAGTTCGATCAAGAACAATAATAGGTTGCGATGCAAAGAGGCAATGTACGGCCAAAATGTAAGGGCAAAAGACACTTAATATGCAAAGGCAAAATATAGCCTAAATGCAAAGGCAAAACACAGCCTAAAATGCAAAACTACCAAATATGGGGGCAGGTAAAATACCTAAAGGAAAATAAATGAATCATAATTAATAAATACATCTCAATGTGAACAGTCAAATGTATTACAACAAAATTATGTCTCGTGTGAATCCTTATATATGGGGCACGCCCTAAAGGGGCTCACTAACCACTAAGAATATCTTTACATCGAACTATGTGATAATGTAACAGTGCATGTTCTTACCGAGAGCTGTGCTACAAGTTAATTGTCAACCTAGGAATGTTATACACAAAGAGTAACCCATGTACACTGTATGCAACAGAAATACCTATTAAAGTATGTAATCAATCGACTTCACCTGTAGGACGGTTGGTTACACTAGTAGCAACAATGTATGCTTACGCAGAAGATAAAAGAAATAGCCCAAAACGACTTGACAATACTGTTCAAAAGAGTCCTTTCCGAGCAGGATTAAAACATGAATTGTGTCATTTACATGATACATGAACAAGCAAGGTAACATGGCACCAAATTACACACGAAAATGTTAAAGTCGTATAGTATTTCGCAGCAATAATTGTTATCTACTTTCTCACTTTTTTTAATTAACAACATCTAGTTGTTAATATGGTACCTATAATTAATTCATTCGAAAACAAATTAACAGTCCTGTCTCCGTTGTAGCTTTGAAACCAGACTGCAGAATTGACAATACTATAATCTCACACCATGGGAAACTTTTTTGGGGATCAAACAAACAGTTTCTTCTGGGATCGAGTAAAACTGCTGAAATAAATACCAAAATTCTGCGGCAGGAGTCCAGTTTTGTAAATAAAGCTAAATGCAAGATTTAGTTTCATTTATATTTCTGATATTTTACCGTTACCAGAACCAAAAAAACCCAAATCATCCATCCGTCTTGTATCGTGATAACGGTAGAATGTTTTATGTTATTAGAACATTTGATGGTTTGTATAATGTGGCCCATATTTCTGAATTAAAGGGACTTTGATACATTTCATACAATCCAGTTCACGGAGGGAGACAATTGGATGTTAATTGGGGATTTATAAATGATATAAATAATACGGAGTGTCCCTACATTCCTCTTTGTAGTAAATAAGGAAGCATAAGTCTCCCTTTCTCGTATTAATTAAGAAAAATATATCACTTCAAAGGTTCGTGCGAGACCGTTTGTCTAAAAGATATTAGGATTACTTCAATGTTATTATTGTATTTCAATTGTAGCTACTTTAAAAGCAGAATGATTCATTTCTTTGAATATTTTATTAGCAAATGTAAATCGCGTGCTTAATAAGTATATGGGATACTTGTAAACGTAATCCATATCAATATACAGGTGCTGCGTATAACAGCACTTTACCTGAGTCGAATTAATAGCGCTGCTTAACAGTCTTAGCACAAAATGTGTGCTTACTATAGCAGAAAATCATGCTGCTGCTTAACTAATAGTTCATGGCATTGGTTGCGCGTATGGAGATTTCTATTGTTACGTCACTGATTGAAGCAACTTTTTCGTGTGTGCTGAAACGTGCCTTTGCTGTGCTTACTGCCTAACTGAAACAGACAAATGCGCAGTAAGCATAAGATCGGCTGTTAAGCAGCGCTATGAAATTGGGCCCTGTTGTAACCAAGTCTTATTCACAGAAATAAACAAAACCATGATTTGCAAGTACGCCATAATCAATTGCGTTATTTTACTTTTCGATACTGATAGTGAGCCTGCGTTATATTTTACAGAGAAAGATGCTAGTGTATAGATTTGTGCTGTTAATGATGTAATCAGATTTTTGTTGTGGAACTTAGCCTACTCCAGTTGGTACACACACTCGTACATACATTATCTCCTTACACAATAATTGATTTTACAGCTTTTTTTGTAAGCAAATAAATATTCCTTTTTAAAGTTGTTTTACCTTCTGTAATGAAATTTGATAATTATTTTTATTTTTTGCCGCATGTGCTATACATGTATACATAGATAAATTGTCACTCGTCCAGTTTGCCATTGTTTGAGATTGTAAAAAAGTGTAATAGCCGGATTGTGTAATTCAAGATTGAAAGCGTAGACTTATATTGAATCATTTTATCATGTCGCAGTGTCATATTTATCCAGATTATCCTTGCCAAGTACCGGGTTGCATATATACGTTTCCTGCTGTGATTCTCGAGTTCAAAAATGTTTTGAAACACTGCACCGCTAAACTTTTAGATAAGAAAGAGACTTGCTAACTGTTTTTTGGGGGGGACTGGGTGTCAAAGTAGGCTCTTTCAAAACCACAGTTAAACAAGCCAAGGGAGATCTTGCCTGTCCCAGAGCACAGAAACGCTGCTCAATCGATTCAGAATGACAATGGAAGTATGTGGCTAACACAGTGGGCCGTTATAACCCATTCATTGGCGTTACTTGGTGATCATTTTAATCATATTTTCTCAGCCAACAGTCATATTATAGTGAGTCAGTCAGTCAGTAAGATATAAAGAAACTAACGGCTGGCCCCTCTGGGACCAGCTCAAACCACTGATCAATTCGAGCGATTCGTAATGCAGTGCTCCACCAAGAGTTGGCCATGTAGAGTCCATTTTCAAGTTTACGGTCGACAAAACATGGCCAATTTGCATTAGTGTCAGTAGACAAATTGAGCTAATTTGTTATAAATTGGGGCATAGCGTTCCGCCACCTTACAAAAAAACCCAAAAGATAACAAGAAAAGAAAAGGACAAACAGTCTAACAGATACTCGAATCATACACTTACGAAACTACTGACCGAAAAAAGAACAATTTTAAATGTGCCGCACTTCGAATTTATCGACCATCTCCCATAATGCACTGGGGAAAATTAACTCTCCTTGGCAAACTCTTGGTGGTGCACTGCATTGTGAATCGCCGGAATTTCGCTGGTTCCTCAGAACAAAATGGATATCTCGTCGCTGAGGACTGTAACATTTTTGTACTGCAAATTATTGTCGGTTTCATGTCCAAAAAATAAATATCGATGAATAAATTACCGCTAGATAACTTAGTAAGCCAACCCATTTATCTGTTGTGTGTGTGTTTATATATACAAATATATATTTTTTTTGATTTTCATGTTCTTTTAAAAGGATCATTATCTGTTATCCCTAATTTTACATGTTATTTCCTCATCAGAATCCCTAGTCTCGTTTTCCTTCCTGGTGAACCGACTTCTGAACTTGTTTTGAGTTCGTGACCTCAATAAGCATGCCACCAGGAAGTTTAGGGGTTTTGTGTAACATCGAAGCTGTCCTTTATTGGTCAGCATTCAAGCCTACAATAGTCGGTGAATTACGTGCATTGTTTATCATTGCGTCTAGATACCACATATCATGGTCAAGTCACCGACTAATTACGTTGGTCTCAAAGATGAAGCAGACAAATCTGTGCTATTTTTTTGTTCTGGCACACTTTTGACTGATTCTTCAGACGAAAAAAAAAAAAAAATTTGGGATAATTGCTTTACAAATTTCAAATTTATCATAATAATGACAACAGAAGAAAATTATGACGATTGTTTTTTTTCTTTTTCGGGGGTGGGGTGCATTCAAAGATTGTACCTCGAATGCAACAAGGAGCCCAACATGGAGAAAAACGGTGTTCCCTTTAAAACAAATCTCTTGGTATAATGATTTACAAATTGTATTATCTTTTCATCGCTTTACACCGTTTGTATGTGTTGATTTTACCAGCCAAGGTTTCCGCTTCAAAAAAAATCCTTGATTTTGCACTCCATCTCAGCCACCACGCTTACCATACCCGTTTGACTATTGTAGCCCGCTTTGTATCTTGCCTGATAGACTATTTTTTGTAAGATAACGTTGTAAATTGAAATAATTCGATTCCTCGCACAGAAAATAGTAACTTCCGTTTACAAACTGGAACAATTGTAGAAGTTTTACGAAGTCTTAAAAACATCATACTCAACTGACGAGGGGCAAAGGTTACTCTCCGAAACGTTGAGTTTCCCCCGGTTCTTTTCACAACCTCACAAACTCACAACAGAGATTTGTCACATAGTACTACCGCATCTTATTGCTACCTTCACCATGCAAACTTAACTCAACAAATCATAACTCAACAAATGACAATACTGAAAAGTTTGTCTAATTCTGAAAATTATTTCCGACTGGATTCTCCTGCAGCGTATTTTATTTCAGCCAAAATGTCCTCTTAAGTTTGATTGTTTCTTTCTAATCTTTCTTTACTAACTGATGTTTACTATTCAACAAAATGTTTCTAAGATCAAGTTAAAAGCTCTAATGTTGAAAACGTAGCAAATACATATGTACACTACTACAATAAAATGTCACGTGCATTAATTGTCGGGCATTTTCTGCAGAGCATTATGATACCGTTTCCGTTGCGGAAGAAAATATTGATATAAAAACATGATGAGTAACATTAGGGGCAGTCTTCTGTAGCCTACTGTTACATATACTAGGATGTAGTCGGGCCGTAATTTTGTGCTGCATGGCTTCTTTGTTTACCTCAAGGTAAGGGTATATACTTTTCGTTATATTCAGAGATGTAAACAATGCCGCACAAATCATCCAACCTCGAGTCTTGACAGTCGAGTCTTGACTTAAAAGCTAAATCAACTGTGAAATTAACTACTTGAACTGTTCACACATGTTACTACTGACCCCTAATGCTGGGAATAGATTGCTGCATTGCTGTATTGCTACCATCTTTGGCGTGCGTAATTTTGTTCCCGAGGTCTGGATATGAGTACACATGTCCATTCATTGTTACTGAATTAAAAACCCAAATAAAAGGCGTTTGGTACAAAATTGTTAACAGTCTATATTCTACTGTGGTTCCATCTGCCAAGTTATAATTGTTCTATAACCCAGATTTATGTTTATCAAGCGAATAAAAACAACATGAAATGTATATCCGAATGAAACAAACACTGCTCTGTAAGAGTAGGTTATCCCATATCTCCTGCCGATATCCCTATGCTACTGCTAATCCTACAATTATTACTACTCTTACTGCTACCTCTACTCCTACTGTTACTCTTAAGCTTGCTGCTACACCTATTTCGGCTGCTACTCCTATAATGTTATTGCTTCTCCCATTTGTGCAGCTACTCCTACTCAAGCGGCTGCTTTTACTGTTACTTTTACTCCTCCTTCTGCTGTTACTTCTGTTGCTCGGTTTGTACAAA